AGGTCGAGGCTGCAGTGGCCGGGAGCGGCCACTGCACTCCAGTCTGGGTGACAGAGTGAGACTCCAACTCAAAAAAAACAAAAAACAAAAAACAAGGTCTCCCAATGCTGTCCTGGCTGGTCTCAAACGTCTGGTCTCACGTGATCCTCCCATGTCAGTCTCCCAAAGCACTGGGATCACAGGCGTCAGCTACCACGCCTTACTTTGCTTTATCTCAGAGAACACAAGTGAAGGCTGTGTTCTCCAAGGGACAGTTTTGTTTTGTTTTTTGAGTTGGAGTCTCACTGTCGCCCAGACTAGAGTGCAGTGGCACGCTCCCGGCCACCGCAGCCTCAACCCACTGGGCTCCGGCGATACTTCCGCCTCAGCCTTCCAAGTGGCCGAAACTACAGGTGTCCGCTACAGCACCCAGCTAATTTTTGTAGAGACGAGTTCTCGCCAAGTTGCTGGGACTGGTCTCGAACCCTCAGGCTCAGGCAATCCACTTACCTTTGGCCTCCTAAAGTGCTGGGATTACAGGCTGAACTACTAAGACTGCCTGGGACAGTTTTATAACTATTCTGAAAGGTAAAATTCTTCAAAATAAAAGACTGTGAAAGAACATAAACAATCAACTTAATGATGTGCTTCCTTTTTATTTTTATTTTTTAATTTAATTTAATTTTTTGAGTCAGAGTTTCACTCTGACGCCCAGGTTGGGGTGCAGTGGCACACTCACGGCCACCGCAGCCTTCACCTGCTGGGCTCAGGTGATCCTTCTGCCTCAGCCTTCCAAGTAGCTGGAACCACAGGTGTGCGCCACCGTGTCTGGCTAATTTTTTGAGTTATTGTAGAGACAAGGTCTCACCAAATTGTCCAGGCTGGTCTCAAACCCCTGGACTCAGGCAATCCTCTCGCCTTCGCCTTCCAAAGTGCTGGGATTATAGGTGTGAGCCCCGGCACCTGGTTCCTTTTTATTTTTTAAAAATAATTAGCGGGGCTCAGTGACTCAGCCTGTAATCCCAACACTTTGGGAGGCTGAGGCGAGTGGACTGGCTGAGCCCGTGGATTCGAGACCAGCCCAGGCAACTTGGCAAGACCTTGTCTCCATGACAAATAAAAAAAAAAAATTAGCTGGATGTGGTAGCACGTGCCTGTAATTCTGGCTACTTGGAAGACTGAGGCGGAAGGATCGCCAGAGTCCAGCAGGTCGACGCTGGGGTAGCCGTGAGTGTGCCACTGCACTCCAGCCTGGGCGACAGAGTGAGACTCCAGCTGAAATAAAAATAAAAATCATCTTGCAGAACCAGCACAATGTTAAATGACACATCCTTAGCCCACACAATTCAATCTGCACCCTGTTATGTATTTTTTTCTGCTCATCTTTTTTCCATTTGGGATGAACAATACAATAGTTATTATAATATATTTGTATTTACAGGATACCCTTCATTCACTAGCCTCATAGAATAAGATAATCACACAAGGCCCCATATCCTGTGGTGAAGAGTTTGGCTGTGCACTGATGTCCTGACTTTGCCACTCATATTAACTAATGTACCTTTGGTCAAGGCATTTTACATCTGTGAGCCTCAGATTCCTCATTCTAAAAAGGGTATCATACCAACCATCCTGGTTGTAAAAAGGAATGAAAGATGGAAATGTAGAAGGAAACCTTACATTCTCAGGAGGTATTAAGTATCATCATCCATACCAACCCGTTTCACAAACATCCTTTCTCCTGGGCATTCTGGGAGACTTGTTTTTATTTTTTAAAATTAATTAATTAAATTTTGAGCTGGAGTCTTACTCTATCTCCTAGGCTGGAGTGCAGTGGTACACTCATGCTGAGCTCTGGTGATCCTTCCGCCTCAGTCTTTCAAATAGTTGAAACTACAGGTGCGCTACCACGCCCGGCTAAGTTTTGATTCATTGTAGAGACAAAGTCTTGCCAAGTTGCCCAGGTGGGTCTCGAACCCGCAGGCTCAGGCAATCCACTCTCCTCGGCCTCCCACAGTGCTGGGATTACAGGCTGAGCCACCGAGCCTGGCCGAGACTTGTTTTTATTAACAGACTCCCTAACCCAGCCTTTCGATATCCTTCTCTTTTTTTCTTTTTCCATGGAGACTTGGGTCTCCTCCAAGGATGCCCTGCTGACTGAAGCTTCTGCTTATTTTCTCAGAAGTTGTCATCAGTATCCCAAACTCCGTCCTGCTTCCTTCCACACTGCTCTTTCTTTCTTGGTGGGGAGAAACTGTTTTGCAGGTCATTGACTTTTGCTCTACAACTCTCTCCCCTTCCCGGACCCAATCATCTATTAGTTTCAGGCTCACTCCGCCCCCTGCTCCTATTCCCTGAAGTTCCTTGGCCTCAACTGATTCCTCCATCCTTCTAAAACCCTTGATGTCCACCACGCCAACCTGGTGGGCATTAGGCCCAAGTCCAGTGATGACCATCTCACAGCAGCCACACCCTAATCTGTCTCATCTCCTGTAATTACTTCCCCTTTGAAGGCTTGAACCCCACATCACAGTCTCTGCTGCCAGCTTGCCAGTCCTTTCCTTCTCAGAGGCCCTGGGCTTTGGGCCCTTCTCTCTACTCTCCCAGCCCATCAGTTCCCTGCTGGCTTGGGTTCCTGTTCTTTAGGAACCAGAGCCTGGCCCATCACTCTAATCACAGTCTCCAGTGCCCTCCACTTCGTCACCCTCTTGTCCTTCTACTCTACGCAAGCAGCAAACTCAGGTTTTATCACTGCGACCTATACTTATACAGGTAACCTTGCCAAATTATAGCTGGACATCACTACACAATTATGGTTTCTAAACTCCACTAGGTCTCCAATGACTCTCGTCTAACTGGTCCCTCTTGTGTTTCACACTGGTTATGCAAAATTCCACCATTTCCCTAAAGCTTCCATCTCATTTCAAAGCCTTCCATTGGCCATAGATAGCTCCTTTCTCCTTCAGTGGTTTGCTTAAGTTCTTTCCTTCACCTTTATCACCTCCTGTGTCGTGCCCATCACCAGCCATCCTCCAAATACTCTCAGAAAAGTCACCCTGCGAACTGGGCTTTGTGGCTCAGGCCTGTTATCCCAGACTTTGGGAGGTGGAGGCAAGAGGATTGCCTGAGCTCAGGGGTTGGAGACCAGCCTGAGCAACAGGGCAAGACCTCGTCTCTACAATAAAAACGTCAAAAAATTAGTTGGGCGTGGTGGTGCATGCCTGTGGTTCCAGCTACTTGGAAGACTGAACCCAGCAGGTCGAGGCTGCGGGGGAGCTGTGAGCGTGCCACTGCACTCCAACCCTGGGTGGCAGAGTGAGACTCCATCTCAAAAAAGAAAAGTCACTCTGCGAAGTCTTAATTGCCTTCCTCTGTCTCCCTAACCGCCCCCCCGCCCCGTGCTACCCAAGTATTGTTCTCTCGAACTTTATTGCCTCCAATAGACAGTTAGCCCTTCCACAAGACTGTGGGCTCCTCCAAGGCGGCAGGAATTTCCTTCCTCCTCAGCGCTCCTGCTGTTCCTGACGGGTCATAGGGGATTCGCGTAGGTGGCGGATGGAAACTCTTTGCCAGGGTAAGACCCGGACGCGAGGACCTGAACGAGGGTCTCGGCTTGCTAGGAAGCCGGGGCTGGCCGGGAACCCTGGAGTTCACCCGCGCATCCGAAGCGCCTCTGCAAAGTGAGCCACAGGGGGGAGGAGTTGTCCCCAGGCTGAGCTAGGCCTGAGGCCAAGGGCGTCCAGAGCGGAGGGTGACGGGAGCTGTCTGTGCCGGAGGAATCACTTTTTAGGCGCTTGTTTTGGACCGTTGCACAAACACGGATGCAAACCCCAAGCTCATCAGCGTGAGTCAGCGGGGTCAGCCTCAGGGCGGACAGGGAAGGTGGCCGAGGACGGCGCCGCGCACCCCGAGGCCAGTGCGGGCAGCGGAAGGACGCGGGGGACAACTCCGGACAGCCCCAGCGGCGACCCCCTCCCCAGCCCGACAGGTGAGCGCCAGGTCAGCCGCAGGGCGGAGCCCGCCGTCCTCATCTGCCACTCTCCCTGGCGCTACCACCACCGCGCAGGTAACTCCCCGCCTGGCCCTGGCCCTGACCCCCAGGCCAATCTGCGTCCCCAGGGACTCCCCGCCCCGCCCCGCGCACCTAGCCCAGGCACACTCGAGGATCTGGGCGCCATTGTTCCCTCCCCGATGGCGCCCGCGCTCTCCCCCGGGTAGAGTCTGAGTCCGGCCGGTAGCACCGCGAGTCCAGCACCCTGCGCTCGCCTACCTCGCCTTTTCGGCGTGGCGCGGGGACTGAGGGACATCCGCCGGTGCCCAGAGCCTTTGGAGCCTGTCCTGCTGCGGCACGCAGCCCCGGGTCCTGAGCGACGCGCCCCTGGGACGCGCTTCTTCCCTCCCCACCCTCCCGAGCCCCGAAAGTCCTGAGATGGCGTTGGCGGAAGTGAAGCCCCAAGCACGGGTCTGGCGAAACTGGCGGTCAGCACCAGGAACATAGCCTTTCTCTGCTCTCTCGGCCCCCGCACCGGTAAAATAACAACCCGTGCGTTTTCAGCATATTATCTGGTTAGGGCGCACAGTGCCCAACTACGTTACAGCTACAAAATCACTTTTTTCTTGGGGAGGGGGGTACCATTAAATTTTTTTGCTGTATAGCTTACATACAATAAAATGCCCCATTTTAAGTGTGCAGGTCGATGGGATTTGACAAATTATACGCTCATGTAACCACTGTCCCAACATAGACATAGACCATTTCCATCACTCAGGAAAGTTCCCTCGTGCCCCTTTCCAGCCAATCCGCTTTCCCAGGACTTCGTAAAACAAGATTATTCAGTAAGTATTCTTTTGTGTCTAACAATACCTTTTTTTTTTTTTTTTTGGTAGAGATGAGGTCTCGCCAATTTGCCCGGGCTGGTCTCGAACCCTGGGGCTCAAGCAATCCCTGGGCCTCCCAAAGTGCTGGGATTATAGGCGTGAGCCACCGCGCCCAGCCTAACATTACTTTTTAAATGGCCATCATTGAGAAGGTGGCTCTTGGTGCTTAAGGTGCTTTTAGCTGTTCTAGGCCTGCCAGTTCTAATGTGAGAGCCACTGGCTACACTTGGTTATTGAACACTGGAAATGTGGCAAGTCCAAACTGAGATGTGCGCTAATTATATGCACTTACTTTCAGAAGTTTCAGCACACACATACAAATAAAGGATGTAAAATACCTCACCAGTAAATTCTTGCATTTATTACATGTTAAAATAACATTTGTCTACATTGACTTAAACAATTATTAAAATTTACTTAATCTGTTTTTTATTTTTTAATGTGGCTACTAGAAAATTTAAAGATACGTACCTGGCTGTGTGATATTTTTATTAGACAAGGTACAACACAGCTCTACCTTGTCCTATTCTATAAACACTTGGCTCCACTCACTGCATATACGAATAAATGAAAAATATAGCCGGGCTCGGTGGCTCAGCCTATAATCCCACGCTTTGGGAGGCTGAGGTGAGTGGATTGCCTGAGCCCGTGGGTTCGAGACCCGCCTGGGCAACTTGGCAAGACCTCATCTCTACAATAAATCAAACAATTAGCCGGGTGTGGTAGCGCGCACCTGTAGTTCCAGCTACTTGGAAGGCTGAGGTGGAAGGATTGCTGGAGCCCAGCAAGTGGAGGCTGCGGTGGCCGGGAGCGGCCACTGCACTCCAGTCTGGGCGACAGAGTGAGACTCCAACTCAAAAAAAAAAAAAAAATGAAAAATATATCTTCATATTGGAACCATCACAATTAGAAGTGATCTAAAACAGAGCTTGCCTTTTCCTGCACTTTAAAAACTTTGTTTCAAACTTACTTGTTTGCTTACAAGTAGTAGGAAGGATTAAGTGTCTCCTTGTTGTTGTTACATTTTTAAAAGAGGATTTTCTAAAATATCTAATTTGCTTTAAAAAGGTTCCTGTGTTTTTCAAGATACTGAAAACGAATAATGGGTGGGGGGGTGATACCTTTTATTACCTACCATAAAGGTCATAGCTGACTACTCTAAACAAAAGACAGGTTAACAAGTGAAAACCATAACAAATTAATTTAATCATAGTTTTACATGAAATGGGAGCCTTCAGAATGAACACTCAGAAATACAGGGAAAACTGATTTTTTGCTTAGGATCCATGAAGCAGGGACAGATGAGCTAATAGAAATAGACTGAGTGGGGAAATTCAGCAAGGCCTGTCCAGATTCTTCTTGGCGTTTCTGGTGGAGCATTTCTTCCTCCTGGGTATGGCGTAAGACCCCTCTGGAATTTTTTTATGGCCAGCTGTTACATGGAAAGAGGTGGAGGGAAGGTTAGAGTAATACTTTTTGGCTTTATGGCTTTATGGGAAGAAAGGGGTTCTAGTTTCTATGACCTGGCTTGGGGATGAAGAATTCTCATTTTTATGACTTGCCTTGGGGGAGAATAAGGGTGAGAGACAGGAGGGCAGGAGAAGGTCAGAGAAAAACTTTGCTTCTGAGGCCTTCATTTTGGGGTATCATTTTCTGAGCCCCAACATCTACAACCCAATCACCTAAATATATTAAGATTTAACATGATATATTTTTGGCCAAATTAAGATCAAAATCTTAATCTTGGCAATTAAGATTTTTATTTTTTTATTTTTTTGAGTCAGAGTCACAGGGTTGCCCAGGCTGAAGTGCAGTGGCACGCTCACAGCCACTGCAGCCTCAACCTGCTGGGCTCAGGCGATCCTTCTGCCTCAGCTTCCCAAGTAGCTGGAACTACAGGCGTGCGCTACCACACCCAGCTTATTTTTTGATTTATTGTAGAGATGAGGTCTCAACAAGTTGTCCAAGCTTCGAATCCCTGGGCTCAGGCAATCCTCTTGCCTCAGCCTTCCAAAGTGCTGGAATTACAGATTGAGCCACCGAGCCCGGCCTTTAATCTTAATTTTTAAAAAAAGTTGTCAGGCACGGTGACTGGCAATTTAATATATATATTTACAGAGAAAGGGGCTCACTACTTGCCCAGGTTGACCATTAACTCCTTCTAAGTAGCTGAACCACTGCAACCAGTTTATCAATAAACATTTGGGATCTGATTGAATCACTGTGTAGGTAGTACTGAAAAATGATAACAGCTAACCTTAATTTAACACTTAGTTACTCTCTTTGTAAATTTCTGCGCAACTCTCTAAGGTAGGTATTATCATTATACACATATACTGCATGGATTGAGAACATTGAGATTTTGAAAAATTGAAGAATTTGACTAGGGTCATAGCTGTAAGTGACAGAGTCAGTATTTGAACCCAGGCTATTTGACTCCAGAGGACAAGCACTTATCAAAGCTGAGCAAATCAACAGTGGAATGAGTAAGGTAGGCCTGTGAAGAAATTATCACCATAATGATTACCTGAGGCAGTAGGAGTGTAAAGAGATGAATATTCAGATACATTTTGGATCTCTGAGTGATCCAAAGAGGTCTGGATTTGGATTGAGAATCTTTTTTTTTTTTTGAGTTGGAATCTCACTCTGTCGCCCAGACTGGAGTGCAGTGGCTGCTCCCGGCCACCGCAGCCTCGACCTGCTGGGCTCCGGTGATCCTTCCACCTCAGCCTTCCTTCCAAGTAGCTGGAACTACAGGTGTGCGCTACCGCACCTGGCTAATTTTTTTGATTTATTGTAGAGATGAGGTCTCGGCAAGTTGCCCAGGCGGGTCTCGAACCCGTGGGCTCAGGCAATCCACTCACCTCAGCCTCCCAAGGGCGCGGGATTACAGGCTGAGCCACCGAGCCCAGCTGGATTGAAAATCTTTTAGGCTATAAATATAGCTCGAGTAAGTGGGCCATGTGGGCAGTGAAGAGGTGCAATGGCATTGAATGTGATCAACTGTGCTCTGTAGAGAAAGGCAGGCTCAGGGACTGGAGCAGGCCATTTGGGATGGGACATGTTTACTCACTCTGGCCATACTCAAATTGAACTCACAGTTCTGAAGTGACTTTAGTTGAGATTGTTTTGAAAGATAAGCAGAGAAAACCACAGAATCAGATCGGGCATTCCTTTGAGGAGGACAAATAAGAAATGGGGAACTGAAATGGTTGCTACCTGATTGCATCTGTGCTTAATTTCCAAGTATTTTAAATCATTTGTGAATTATGAAAGAAAGTGGGATTTATAGTTATTTGTTTTTGTTAGTTACCCTCCTTTTTTTATTTTTACAGTTATAGTTTTTATTTTTTGAGTCGGAGTCTTACTCTGCCACCCAGGCGATCCTTCCACCTTCCAAGTAGCTGGAACTACAGGCATGTGCCACCACACCCAGCTCATTTTTTGATTTATTGTAGAGACGAGATCTTGCCATGTTGCCCAGGCTGGTCTCGAACCCGTGGGCTCAGGAGATCCTCTCACCTCCGCCTCCTTAAAGTGCTGGGATTACAGGCATGAGCCACTACGCCCGGCTACAGTTATAGTTTTATATTAGCAGTGTTACTTGCTCATTTTCCTGCTATGACTACACAAATAACACTTTTGATACATGGTGAAATTACAAGAGCAGAAGGCCGCTCAAGGGAAATACAGTAGTACTCAAGGTAAAGAATATTGAGAAGTTATTGGCTTCCTGTAAAACCAAAGAGTTTGAATCAGACAACAACAGAAATATCCTGCTTGAATATTCTTTTATTTTTATTTTTTGAGTTGGAATCTCACTCTGTCGCCCAGGCTGGAGTGCAGTGGCACGTTCATGGCCACTGCAGCCTCAACCTGCTGGGCTCTGGCGATCCTTCCGCCTCAGCCTCCCAAGTAGTTGAGATTATAGGCATGCGCCACCATGCTTGGCTTATTTTTAAAAATTTTTTTGTAGAGACAAGTTCTTGCCATGTTGCCCAGGCTGGTCTCGAACTCCTGAGCTCAAGCAATCCTCTCGCCTTGACCTCCCAAAGTGCTGGGATTACAGGCGTGAACAACTGTACCTGTTCTAATAGCTAACTTTTATTAATGTTGCCCTTTTGTTAATGTTATCTTCTATACCAGGCATCAGAAAACAAACAAACAAAAAAGGTAAACATTTCAGGCTTTGTGGACCAGAGGTCTCTGTTGTCACAGCTATTCAACTCTGCTGTTGTAGCATTGAAAATAGTCATAGACAATAAGGAAACGAATGGATGAGGCTGTGTGCCCATAAAACTGGATTCATGGACACTGAAATTTAAGTTTCTTGAAATAGTCTTCTTTTGATATTTTTTCCCAATCATTTAAAATTGTAAAAAAAAAATTCTTAGCTTGGGAACCAAACAGAAACAGACAATAGAGCAGATTTGATCTGTGTGTCATAGTTTGCTGATCCTACTGTCATAATTTATATGATCATTGAATCATCATAACCAACTATGAAATTGGTGGCTTTTTCAAAATGTTGGTGTATTTGAATATTGATTGATTTCTTTTTTTTTTTTTTTTTTTGAGTCAAGGTCTGTTGCCCAGGCTGGAGTGTAGTGACATGATTTGGGCTTACCACAGCCTCAACCTCCTAGGCTCAAGTGATCCTTCCAAAGTAGCCACCATGTCCAACTAATTCTTTGATTTTTTTTTTTGTAGAGATAAGGTCATGCTATGTTGCCTGGACTGATCTTGAACTCCTGGGCTCAAGCAATCCTCCTGTCTTGGCCTCCTAAAGTGCTGGAATTACAGGTGTGAGACACCACACCTGGCCTGAATATTGTTTTTTAAAAATAGGCTTTATTTTTTTTTAGAGCAGTTTTAGGTTCAAGGCAAAATTGAGCAGAAAGTACAGAGTTTGCATACACCCTCTGCCCACCCACTCCACACCCAGCCTCCCCCATTATCAACATCTAGCATCAGTGTGGTACATTTAATACAATCGATGAACCTACATTGACGCAACATTATCACTCAAAGTCCATAGTTTATCTGCACCGGGATTCACTCTGTGTTGTTCATTCTGCACCGGGGTTCACTCTGTGTTGTTCATTCTGTGGGTTTGGACCAATGTATAATGATCTGTATCTGCTATTACAGTATCATACTTATATATAATAGTTTTACTGTCCTAAAAATCCCTTGTATTCTGCCTATTCATCCCTCTCTCCCTCCTACCCCCTGGCAACCACCGATTTAGTTTTTTTTTTTTTTTTAGAGACAGTCTCCTGTCACCCAGGCTGGAGTGCAGTGATGGGATCATAGCTCTCTGCAACCTCAAACTCCTGGGCTCAAGCAATCCTCCTGACTCAACCTCCTGAGTAGCTGGGACTACATGTGTGAGCCAACATGCCCAGCTAATTTTTACATTTTTTTGGAGAGGTGAGGTCTCATATTGCTGCCCAGGCTGGGGATATTTTTCAAACTGTCTCTACAGTTTTACCTTTTCCAAAATGTCATATAGTTGGAGTCATACATCATGTAGCTTTTTCAACTTCCCTTCTTTCACTTAATAATGTGCATCTGAGATTCCTCTATTTTTTTCTTGCCTTAATAACCTATTTCTTTTTAGCACCAAATAATATTCCAAAGACTTGGCATTTTTATTTTATGTTACAGACGAAGAAATAGGCACAGAAAAGGTAAAGAACTCGCCCAGGTATAGTTGGTACAGATCTGTCCAACTCCAAAGTCTGAACTCTTAAACATTTTCGTATGCTTCTGAATTCCAAAGAATTTTGGTTAAGTTTGTTACATGACAGTTTCTTGTTTTTGAGTTGGAGTCTTACTCTGTTGCTCAGACTGGAGTGGAGTGGCACACTCCTGTCCACCGCAGCCTCCACCTGCTGGGCTACGGCGATCCTTCTGCCTCAGCCTTCAAGTAGCCAGAATTACAGGCTCACGCTATCACACCCAGCTCGTTTTTGATTTATTGTAAAGACGAGGTCTCGCCAAGTTGCCCGGGTGGGTCTTGAACCCGCAGGCTCAAGCAATCCACTCGCCTTGGCCTCCCAAATTGCTGGGATTACAGGTTGAGCCACCGAACCCGGCACATGACAGTGTCAAAGCAACTTTCTCAATAGCAACAAAAGATTAGAAGCCTAGAAGATAAGACTTTGTTTCAAAAGGTTCAAGTATTTAATTTAGATAGAAAAATGCTGTGTGCTTTTGAAATCCTGGTTGAAGCCAGTCTTAGTGGTTCAGTGTCTGTAATCCCAGCACTTTGGGAGGTTGAGGAGGGAGGATTGCTTGAGGCCAGGAGTTCAAGACCAGCCCGGGCAACATAGTGAGACCCTCTATCTCTACAAAAAAAAAAAAATTAAAAAAAGAAAATTATCCAGGCATGGTGACTCAAGCCTATAATCCCAGCACTTCGGGAGGCGGAGGCAAGAGGATTACCTGAGCTCAGTGGTTGGAGACCAACCTGAGCAACATGGTGTGACCTCATCTCTACAATAAATAAAAAAAAAATCAGCTAGGCATGGTGGAACATGCCTGCGGTTTCAGCTACTTGGAAGGCTGAGGCAAAAGGATCACCGGAGCCCAGCAGGTCAAGACTGCAGTGGCAGTGAGCATGTCACTGCACTCCAACCTGGGCAACAGAGTGAGACTCCGACTCAAAAAAAAAGAGAAGAAAATTAACTGAGCATGGTGTTGCGCACCTGTGGTTCTAGCTACTCAGGAGGTTGAGGCAGGAGGATCTCTTGAGCCCAGGAGTTTGAGGCAGCAGTGA